CTAACTCTTCTTCTGCAAGAAGAAGCTGCACATTTTTCATAGAAATAATTCAAACCTCTCCAGAAAGTTACATTTAAGATGCAAAATTGATTTCTGTATTAATTATTGGCAGGTAATTGCACTGCAGACTTTAGGTATAAAAGGCAGAAAAAAGCAGGAAAATGGAGAAAAGATCTGAGGTAGAACAAATCATACATTTCTTGAACCCCTTACCTCCCACCGCCGGGCCCCGGGGACGCTTTGACGTCACATTCTGTTCAGCATCTAACAGCCCACTTATTTATCAACTTATCCAAAAGAAAACAACCATAAACTCAATCATAAGCCACGTTTTCTCCACAAACACAGAAAAACGATAATCTGTCATCAAATTTCAACTTATTTTCTCTACAATGTTTTCAACTTCAAGAATTACAAAATACATTATAACCTGACATAAATGGGCTGATTTTGTCCGTAACACTCCACAGAAATGTAATATATATATATATATATATGTATATATATATATATACATATATATATATATATAAAATCAGGGGTCCTACATGTAGGAAACACAGTCTGCAGGCGCATGCGTCTGATATATTTTTTTAGCCAATAAGATAAGATTAGCAGTGAAGTATTGGAAGTGTAGGAGTGAGCTGAAAAGATAGTGTTTATTTATGTGCATAAGGAGTGAAAGGAAAGGAGAAATAACTGGATATGCACAAAAAACCTATAGTGCAAGTTCTGAAAGTTGAAATTTTGAAGCATAAAAGAAAGTGCCTGAATGAAAATTTGTGTAAAGCTACATAAAAAACTTGTTTTTTTGAGGACAAATTAGTCAAAAAAAATTCAAATAATCCAGTCTGGCACTTTTGAGCCTAATTTGGATAAATTGTGCAGAATGGACCTTTTGCATTAAAAAAGGGTCACAGTTTCACAATGCTTAGCACTACAGACCTGACATTTTACACTATTGTCATCTAAAACATGATAATCAGTTCTAGTGAGTTCAAAAGGTCAGCTACGAATTATACACAAAATATAGAATATTTTGCATTTACGGAAGATGATTAGGGCCAGTGGGGGAAAAAAAAAAAAGTTAGCAGATTTTTTAATTTTATTTCAGTTTAGTATGGGAAAAAGTCAGAATTCTGACTTTTTTTCTCAGAATTCTGACTTTTATTCTGACAATAAAAAAAGTCAGAATTCTGAGATTAAAGTCAGAATTCTGAGAAAAAAGTCAGAATTCTGACTTTTGTTATTGTCAGAATTCAGTCAGAATTCTGAGAAAAAACTTTTTTCCCATGTTAAACTGAAATAAAATTTAAAAATCAGTTAACTTTTTTTTTTTCATTGGCCCTAATCCTTTTCCGTATGCATTGCCTTTTTTATGCAAGGGAGAAAAAAAAGATCATTATGAAAATGTTTGAAGCTACATAGCTAAAGTTATGTAAAACTTGGGGTTTGTATACATATCGTAGGAAACTACAAGACTTAGCTTTCAAATAAGACACATCACAAACATGTGGGATAATAATTTTTCGATATGTAATTCGTTTGTGCACAAGCTTTAAAAAGGTGGGAGCCAAGGGGTTAATTTCCAATTCAATAGAGATATCGCAGCTTTGACTCTTGATCCGATACATTTCAGCACAGATCATGAATACTTTTACTGCTCATGTTGGAAAAGGTTTAATGAATCGATATTACTTAAAGAACAATAGTCCACAACAGTTGATATGAAAACAACTGAGCCATTTCTTGTTAACCAGTGTGTCACATTAAACAGAAGCAAAGTGTTTCTATAAGCTTAAGGTTTTAGATGGAGGTAAATATATATTCAGATATTTGCTTTTTGGGTGCTGTCCGATCAATTGCCAACAATATCGCATAGAGACATCCCAAGTTAGACTGCGGAAGGCAAGGAATAAAAGGAAGAACACAAGGATGAAAAAAAAGGTCATAAGGATAGGACAAAGGAAGGAATCAAGTAGGAAGGTTGATTAAACAGAAATTCATTAAGAAGCAAGATAGGACACAAGGAAAGGATGAAGTAGAAAAGGAAGGAGGAAAAAAAGGAAGGAATATTTTCTCTACTTAGCCAGATATATTAAATTAAATTCCAGATTTTTTCAGTGATTGTTTCTTTTATCCCAGTAGTTAAAACTTTGATCTTTTTATAAACCGGACCCTGGAGTCTGGAAATTAGAAAGTTGGATAAAATTTAATTTGAATAAAAGTCAGAAGTTTTACCACATTCCCCCTTAATCTTCATGTTAATTCATCAACCAGACAATCTTCTCCTTCTGTAAATAAAACAAAGCGCACATTGTCTTTCTAAACAGCTGGTGAAGCACCTGATGGAGTGAGGAGATAAATTCATCCACACAGAACACATCTACTAGTTTATTCACTTCTAATCCTCTTATCCAGTCCTAATGTGAGCATTCAGAAACTGAAGGATGGGTGAGCAGCCAAACGGCCTAGAGGCACAGCAAAGCGTAAGGGTTCCTATTATTTTTTCTCAAATAAAGCTGCAGCAGGTGTGAATGCCAACAAAACTGAAAAGACGCATTCATCGCCATCTGTTCCAGTACAGTAGGATCTGCTTTTCATCGATCGGAAAAAATAAACCACAAGCCGATTGAGCAGTTTCAGAGATCGGCTGCAAGATGCAGACATCCTTAAAGAATAACATCCAGTCTTTCACTGAGAAACCAACTCAGTGATGATTTAATAAAAGCAAGCAGTGATGTGGAGGGATGCATCCAAAATATTGTTTTTATCTGCAAATCCTGAGTCCTTTTTTTCATCCCCCACATTAAAATGTTGAATCTGAGCTGCTTAAAGTGGGAGAAAGAGATGCAGACAGACACTAGCTTTATAGAAAACTATAGTTCTCAGAGTAGAGTTGCTTCAAAGCAGCTACAAAAATACGCACATTTTTGTTTTAAAGAGCTGGGTGAAAATATTTGACCTCAACACCCAGATCCAGTTGAAAATAACCATTAAAAAGAAAATATTCGTCTGATCTCCCCAGTCAGAAAGAGTCCTTTAAAAGCAAGCCGTCGGGACAGAACCTAGAGTGGTTCTGTTCAGACGCTTTATAAAAACAAACCAGCAGCAGCCCCAGTCATCCCTGCCCCTGCCTGCACACAGAGGACACATTCATCCCCTAAAAACGGGCACCATGAGGTGGTGGCGGGGGCCTGATGGAGGGAGGGAGCAGCAGACACACTTCAACTTCCAAGACATTAATTCAGCCACTCTGACTACCATGGCAGCGCTAAAGGGCTGGGAAGAAAAAAAAATTTCAATCTGCGTTAATCAGATAAAACTGACTCAGTTATGACAAGATGAGCACTGATTTAATGAGCTCCATCCCCGGCAGGAGAACAGCATTCCTTCCACAAAACTTAAATGTCTTCACTGCTCTTCTTCCCACAGTTCAGCTGAGCTTCTTTAGCTGCGTGAGGCCTAATAAAATAACTAATGGAGCTCACAACTTAATTTTTTCCATACATTTTACAACTGAAAACTTTTGTGTATTTTTGCTTTTCATGTATGCATCACAACATGGTGCAGAATTGTTAGATTGAAGGAAAAGGAAGGGAATATGTTGTTCTCTTTGTGGAGGAAATCGTCTGAAAAAGGAGTATTCATTCATTTATTCATGGGAGGCTTCATCTGAACCTGAACATAGAGCTACAATAAGATGGTTCAAATAAAATCATGTGTATTAGGATGGCCTAGTCAAAGTTCTAACTGGAAAAAAAAAAGCCTGCAAGACTTGAAGTCTCTAGATGTGGAACAGTGGTAGAGATACTAAGATGGGCGGTTGTAGACAGGGGCCAACGAGGGCCAGTGCCCCTGTAGATCATGTCCTGGCCCCGGCACTGAAGACATAATACTAAAAGAAATTCTAATGATGATATGCCCCGTAACAGACATGGCCCTTTTGATCCATTTCTTTTTTTTTTTCTTTATAAATTCTGTTTTACTAATTATTTAAAAGCAATAAGGTGATAGCTTCAGTGGTGTTGAGATAGGATCCCAGTTTCCATTTGCTAAATGTTGTTTTTTAAAACATGCTCTATTTTTGCAGCTAAATTAATCTGTTTTTCTTGAGTTCTAATTCCGATTTTATAGAAAACTGTAACTTTAACTTAAATTTAAGTTAAAAGTATGTAAAATTCCTAAATTCTGAATATATATTGACCTAATAAGACATAGAATTTTAATTAAACCTAATTGAATAGAAATTTCACTATATGCAGCTATCTTAATATATTTGAATCCCTTGCCCTGCTTTTTATTTCATGCTTTTCTGTGCCTCCATGAAAACATGCTGGCCCCCTCCTTGCCCCCCTGGTACATTTGGTCTAGAACCGCCACTGGATACCAACCATCAGATCTGCAAAGTATCAGCAACAGAAAAGTGATTCAGAGAAGGATCAACAACAATTCAACCCCTTTCCCTATATTTCACAATTGCTTGCTACTTTTACTTTTTCCTGGACATAAAACCCTGTTTGATCTTCCAACACATGAAGGCTCTGCAGGACATGAAACTCTGCAGGACATGAAACTCTGCAGGACATGAAACACTGCAGGACATGAAACTCTGCAGGACATGAAACTCTGCAGGACATCTCCCCAGAGGAAGGAGCGCGTTGGATGCAGTCAATGTGCGGCACCTATGGATTCATTACGCACGCAGACTAGGTTTGCGCACTCCTTTTCGGTTATTTCTCCCCTCCTTACAGGGACCAATGGGGGAGGGGATCCACGGGGGGAGGAGGGGGACCCCACAGACCCCAAAAACAAACTTTAGCTCCAAGTCTTTAGATCTGCACTACATGATGCTCATCTGGTTGGATAGTTAGTCCAACAGCTGTCCCCCTGATGTCCATCCAGGCGGAAATCTCCATGAACTGATCATTTTAATTATTAATCAGTGAGAGTGTTTGACCAAGCAGAGCATGCTCGGTGGTGGACACATTGGTACCGACCTTGGAAGCAGAGGATGAGTCCAGCAGCGCATAGGGGGGCTTTTCCTCTCCGGGTCACCATGGAGGTCACCCCGCCGTCCCTCCGCAGGCTTCCAGCCCCTGTCTGTAGCTCCATGACCGTCCTAATGGATCCCAGTTCGGCTCCTCCGACTAAAGCAGAAGCGCGTAAAACTCAGTCGAGTCAAACAGAGAGTGGAGTCTCCGTGTGCGCACAGGTAGCCCAGCCCCGCAGCTCCACGCAGCTCCCCGCAGCCCGAACGGCTTCAGCAGTTCACCTGGTTGGACCAGAACCAGGCAGGACCATGGAGGAACCAAACGGACCAGCTACACTGAGCTCAGAGCGAGCAGCCCCGGCGAAAGTTTGAAGGCGGCTCTAAACTTCCAGGTGGCTGAGAGAGGGAGAGCTGCTGTCCGCTCCTCTCACTCATTCCAGCGCGCTGCGCGGTTCCGACTGAGCGCAGAACCAGAACCTCCTTCACCCCGCTGCTACAGCGAGATTCACACCGCTCAGATCCTAACTCTGCTTCCTCCCACTTCCCAATCTCTGGTGGAGTGGATTTTTTTCTCTCTCACTCTCTAGGCATCTGGTAAAGTGGGCTGGAAACGCTTAAACCGATTCCAGTCCATACCTTTCACAATAAGAGCCACAAAGCATACCTGAACTAATGACAGAACTCATTAACATTTAAATCCGGACTTTGACTAGGCCACTCTAAATGGAAACCATGGGATATGCAAAAAAGGGCTCAACAGATTTTTCTTTCACAAGTGGAGCAGTACGGCTATCGCCATAGTGTTCCACTTGATTTATGCATATAAATACTTTTATTATAATTCATGCAGGGAGATTTACAGATTATATGGACACTGCAAAGTCAGTAGAACAGGAAAGGAAAAACAGAAAAAAGGAGAAAAGATGAAAAAAAAAGAGAGAAGAAAGGGAGACAATGATAAAACCATATGCAATCTTAATATGTATGTAACATTTTTAAATTAAAAAAGAATTTAACAAACAGACCCAACTATGACTGTAGAGTTTTTTTTATGTGTTTTGTCTATTTTTCCACATCTTATGGCACGACAGAAAAAAACAACTAATAAAATGTTTTTTTATGTGTTTGTTTATACATCCTTCTCTTTTGGATAAAATCTATTAATTTATGGTATTGTCTTTTTAAAAGTAAAATAAAAACTGAAAAAAAAGAACCTATCCTTTTTTTCATGAGATTTATTTTTATCTACAACATGTTTTAGTACAAACATGACATATTCTAGGAATGTGCAGAAAGGATTTTATATTAACAAACTTTAACCGTAATGTCCTCTTTCAGAGCAAGTTCCCAACATGAATTAAATAACTTAGTTGACTGAAAATACTGTTTTATATGGGGTTCTTTCAATCATTGCGTTTTTATCTCCCATCAAGGCCCAATAAATGTATTAGCTCTCTTAATGACAGATTCTTCCTGCTGAATCTCTCCAGCTCCTTCAGCATATCTGTTCAAACTCATTTCCAGGAACAGCCATGTTTTCCTTCAGTCAGTTCATAGATCTCTCTAAGCCTTGGTAATGCTCATGTTTTATTAATAATTTTATTTATTTATGCTGGAGTTCTTAACTTCCTTTACGCGTCGCCTATATTTCCGGAAGCTTGATGCGCAACTTTTCCATCAGTGCAGCTTCCGGTGCCTCACCTTGGATCAGGAGTACAACAGTGCGACCCTCTGGTTTAAATGGATCCTTCATTTAAAAACACCTTTTTATATGATGCAAATAAAAAACAAACAAACAAAAAAAACTATTGTTTAACAAAAATATCAGATAATTAATTTGCCTTGGTGTATTTCGCAATTAGATTTTATTTAGCACAATTTATATAAAATACACAAAAATAGCATTCCTGAAAAAGAGAAAAAACAAGCACAAAATGAACACTAAACCTAATATATGTATATTTATATATGTATTTATATATGTATATATATATATATATATATATATATATATATATATATATATATATATATATATATATATATATATATATATATGCATAGCAAAGTTGCAGGTTTTATCCTGGTCTAAAGGAGCTGCTCAGGTGTATGAAAACATGAGGTCGCTGCATGTTTCAGAGATGACCCAATTTACCCACAAATCTGAGGTCTTTGAAGATCATTACATTTCAGAAACACCCTAATTCCAAACTTGAAGCCAACTAGAAGCTAGTAGTTGAACAATCCATTTCCTGGTGTCATCACGGAAATAAAAGCAGGATTTTGACGAGCTGAAACTTCCCAGGTTCTTTAAGCAAAGTTTAAAATATTACACTAATCTAATCCACCAAATGAAATGTTTGTCTTCATTTTATACAAAAAACTTCAATTACTGCTTCATTTAATTCAATGTACTATCATCACCTTATCAAAAATAAACAAGAGTGCTTCGTGTTTAACTTCAACTGTGGAGTAAAAGATAAATAAAATGAGCACATAACCATATTGCAACAGAAGTTGCATAAACTAAACCACAGCTTTGAAGGACAAAGTTTGAATTATTTACTGATTTTGTAATAAGTGATGTGACTCTTTGAATCCACAAGTCAGGCTTGTTTCCAGAGTGAGTTATTTTGCACAGCAGCTCCTTGAGGTGAAGGTGTAGTAAGCAGTCCTGGAGAACCTCAGGGTCTGATTTTGATTTCAGCAGAGGATGAGGATCTAGAAGTATTTTAATCACACAGGACGCAAAGCAGGGGTGTCAAACTGGTTCCAGAAAGGGCCGTGTGCCTGCAGGTTTTCTTACCAACCAAACAATAGCACACCAGACTCCATTCATCTCATCAAGTCATCATGTTCAGATTGGACTCCCTTGATGACAGTTTGACACCTGTGAGGTAAAGGATCTTTGAGGAGTTAAAGATCAGTTTGAAGATCTGAGCATCTTTCCTACTCAGCAACAGCAATGGTCTAAAAAGAAAAATAGACAAGAGATCTTTGAATCAAAAAACTTTTTTTATTGAAGGATCCACATCAGAGAAATGCCATCAGGCTACTGATTAAACATGAGACTCTTCATTAATCTGGTCCAATCTGATGCACTTTACACTCTATATGCAAAACATTCAGTCTCTTTCCCACCAAAGGATGTTGATCAGCACTTAGATTTTGTCCTCTTATGATCTGATATTTTTATTCTCACAAAATATACATGGAAAAACTATTTTAAAGTAAGGGAGACTTATAAAAAAAATAAAACTTAATTATGGCAATCCAGTTTTAAGGATAAGCTTAAGTAAAAATTCCATGAGTGAGAAAAAACCCACCACCTGAGAGCTGTGCAAAAACATGCCGTCTCCATCCTGATCACTGGCAGCTGGTGCTTACTTACAAAGACTGCACAGCAATACAAATATGTTAAAGCCATACAGCCCGAGATATAAAGCAGCCCTTGTTTATTATTATTATTTATATACACACACTCTAAAAAGGGTTTTCCAGATTTTTGAGTCGGAAGCAACTCCAGGAGTCTGCATTTTTCTGGAGGAGGAATCAAGTCTAGCAGCGGAGCAGAAACATTTATTTAACTAATAAGCATATAGGCTAAAGCAGCAGGTATTTGCACACAACTTAAAATCATGTGTTTGAGAAACCTTTCAACCTGTACCCCAAGGCTTCCAAATCATTGGAAATTAAATCTCAGAAGGCAAGAAAACAAGTTAACAGTTTAGGAGGGGTCATTTCACATTAATCTTTATCAAACCACAAAGTCTACAGTTTCTTTATTTGCTTGAAAGGATAAAACCGTCAAATGGCACAAGGAGACAGGAAGTCACAAAAATCAGATGAGAGGAAAAAACTTCAAGCAGAATGAGTGACTTTATGGCAACAAACCAATTTAAAGTGCAGCCGATTCTGAATGATTGGCAGAGATGGGGTCCAACACGTGTTAATGAGGCACTGGAACAGGATGGGGGGGTAAGGCTGTCTGTCAGCAGAAAACAAACACTTAAAAACCATAACATGTCAGGTATGCAGAGAACTTCAACTGTGGAGGTCTGGGATTTTTTTTTTTTGGGGGGGGACGACAATTAGCAGCCAGCTGTGTGTTTAAGGAGCTGGTTCTGCATGGTAGTGTTGTCAGTCGTCGCTATGGCTCAGGAGCCGAGCCGGCGTAGAAACATATCTGTCATCCATTAAAACGTGTAGTGATGTCCAGGCTTGTCCTCTCATGCCACTCAGTTTCCAGTGTACAGGTCCACGGTGCTGGAGCTCAGGCCTCGGCTTTCCCTGAAGTTACCGCCTCCTCGATTCTGACAGGCAGACAGATACGTGGATGAAGCATCACAGAAGAAAGAGAAATTAATTTAACATCTAGCTACATTCATACAGATACTATCAAAAGAAGTGATTTTCTTTCAATATTTGCACATTTTTCTGTACAAAAACAAACTTTAATGTATCTAGTTAAGGTTTTATGTCCAGTAGATACTAAGTGGAAGAAAAAGAATCCACGATGAACAAAATTGGTGTTTTTCCACTAATTGTCCTGAATATAAATAATTGATCATAGGAAAGCATTCAGAGAAGCATTAAGCTTCTGAAGCAGCTGCAGAGATACAAGAATTTGTAGAAAGGACAACTGTTTGTCTCCTAATCTACTAAATGTAGCTATTATAGAAAAATGGTAAGATGGTGCTGCAATTAGAAAAAAAAACCAGACAAAAACCCAATGAGAAGTCCTGTCTGCAGTTTATCTTAAACTATGTAGGAAAACCTGCAGTCATGTGGAAGAAGGGCTGCTGGTCTGATGTGACCAAAATGTAGCTAAATATTGGGCTCATGAATGCAATGAATTTTATTTCTGGGTATCAGAGAAGTTGGGGGTTGAACATGGTGTCTTACAGGGTTAACATTCGGGCTGCAACTAACGGTTATGTTGCAAATCGATTAATCTGTCAGTTATTTTTTCGATTAAAAATAATTGGATAGCAAAATGTAAATTTAAAGATTTTTTTACAGAATTAAGCCGGGTGAAAGTCCTGGATAGAGCATACTGACAGAAGAAAAAGATTAGTACCGGTATCTTAAATGCAAAATGTTTACCTTTTTTTTTGTAACACGATTTTGGTATAATTGCTGCTCTAGGTGGGTCACTCTGTGAGCTAAAGGTATGTTTTTGAGTCTCTATATACTCCATTGTTTCCTAAACATTGCAGTAATTTGTTGGTCTGTAGCATCAAAGCTGTATCTGTAATGGGACAAAACCCCTGGAGGAAAGGATGTTAAACTGACTTCCTCACCTGGAATGAGTCGTCACTTGTTCTGTTCAGGAAATTAAGCGAAGCGGCTCTCTTCATGCTGGTAAAGTAACGACAGACATGTTTATACAGTATCCTGTATATCTGCTGAATTAAACAGCTGATTTCAGAAGATGCAGTGATAAGAGATGAAAAAACCAAAACACTATTTGATTTTGTAGTTTTACATTTACTTCAGACCAAATGTTTAGGGTAATTACTTGGTGCTGCGAGGTTCAGGTGGACCGTTGCCCTGAAGCTTCTTCACCAGCATCTCGCTGCTGCGACGCAAGACGTCTCGGAGCTTCCCCAGAGAACCGCTGCGCTGCAGAGCTCCACTGCCATCCTGAGGAAATACAGACTCGTCAGCCTTTTACTGACAGAGATTTACACATTTAGATGCACCTGTTTGTGCATCTATCATATTTATTTTCAAATCTCAGTAACAGTGAATTTGTGACCATGCAAAGCAAGAGAATTTAGTGAATAAGTGCTGCAGGACAGGAAAGGACATGCAAGTTATTTTCTGCTGTGAATTATTTACTTTGATATAGAACCATTAGAGCTAAACTCAAAAGAAATAGCAGGTCGAGCAAATATTATGATTACATGGATTGGATGCTCTCTGGACTGCAAGACATCCAGAGGGCAGGAGGTGGGAAACAAAAAGATCCTAACTAACTAAATTAACTTCTCTATTGGATAATGTCTCCCACCCCATTTATAAAGCTGTTGCTGGACTGGAGAGCTCCTTCAATGACTGCTGCACCCTAAATGCACCAGGGAGTGTTATCACAGATCCTTCCTCCCAGCAGCTGTAAGACTTTATAACCACCACTGTTCACAACCTCAATAAGTTGTTACATCAATGCTGAATTTGTACAGTTTCTGTCTTAGTCAGTTAAATAACAATCTATTATTCAAAAAAATATCCATAGGTGAATATGCAAAGTACTTATTTTGTTAAAACACTTTACAGTAGAGTATTTAACTGTTCACTATTATGTTATTTCTTCTAAGGTTCACATTTTTTTCTATAATATTTATGCTGCTGTCAACACCAGAATTTCCCCATTGTGGGACAATAAAGGGATTTTCTATTGTATTTTATCCTGACTACCTTAGTAAAAGTAGCAAATCCAGGTCTTTTGATTAAACCCTTTCAGTAAAACATAATACATCTGCCACCACTTTCAGGTGAAGCAGCTTAAAGTTATTCCCTCCATACTTGTTGGCTCAAAGCACATACCTAATGAGCTGTAGTCTCATAGCCATACATTTACACATTAAAGTTTATTCGTTGGAAGGTTGTTAAAGGTTCTGCTGTTAAAGCTCAGATGCAACTCGACTCCAAATCCATGCAGTCGTTTTGATGTCTGAGTGTCGTCATCTGATTACTAATCTGTTTAGGGCTGCAACAAATCATTATTTTGAAAATTGATTAATCTGTTGATTTTTTTTTTTTTGAATAATCGATTAATAAACTGAAAGCAAAAGGTTCCTCAAAGAAGACTTTTTACAGAATTAAACTAGCTGTAACAAAAATGTATCCTCTTAATTAGTTCTGGATAGAGCATATTGACAGATGAAAAAGTTTTTTTTTGTCTGAAATGCAAAATGTAAATTTTTTTTTTTAACAGTTGTGGAATAATTAAATAACTCAAGGTGGGTCGCTCTGTCAGCTAAAGGCGCGTTTTAAGGTCTCTACTGTCCATGTAACGATTAATCAATTACTAATTTAGCTGACAATTATTTCAATGTATTGACTCATTAATAAATTCATAACAGGGTTTATACAGGAACGAATAACTCTAACTTAATGCTTTTTAATGCTCTTAGAAATAATTTTAATGCCACCAACAGGTACCCATTGGCAGGCTGCAGGCATGTCTCGAATTCCCCGTTTTCCAGCCACTTTTATTGAAAGCTTTTTCTAAACATACAGCTTTGCGATCAACCGGACACAGTTCCGGACAAACATATTGTGATATGTTTTGACAAAATTTTTTTAATAAATAAATTTTTCTTTTTTAAGAAAGCATTTAAAATGCCACAATAAAAACATTTAATGAATTTTAATGCAAATTAAGGCCTTAATTTAGAAAAATTATAATTTAATGACATTTAATGATTTTTAATCAACCACGGAAAACCTGTATAAACAAATTCAGGGTTCCTACAGCATAACGCAAGTGAAATTTAAGACTTTTTAAGACTTTTTAATGCCACTTGAAATAAAAATTTAAGACCAAATTTACACGAAACACAAGTAAAACCCGCTTGCGACAACTTAACCTAAAGGTTCATTTTAACATAAATCTTTGCACCAACGTTTCAAATTGCTCATATTTTCCAGACAAAAAGTAAATGCTGCATCTTCCAAATGTCCCGGCCACAACAACGCTTTTATTGGTTCCGCTATCGGGACAGAACCAATAATGGCGAGTCGTTTTTAAAAAAAATAAAATATAAAAATTGTCAATTTTAATGTTTTATTTAGACTACAAAAATAAATCGTAATAAAAATAATCCTTTTTATGATGTTTTAAAGATTAAGACCTAAGAAAGACTGATTTAAGACATTTTAATACCAATTAAGGCCTTAGATTTATTTTAAGACTTTTTAAGGACCCGCGGGAACCCTGAAATTATAAAGCTATATCTCTATTAGCGGCTTTATAGCAGATTTTATTACGCAACCCAGTATAGGAGCAGCTGATTAGGAGGTCATTCAGGAACTCAGATGAACACAATAATTTGTTACTTTAGTGCGTTGAATGTGGAATAAATTAAAAGGTAAATAATTAATTAATACACAGACCTTAATAACGTATCAGAATATTAGTCTGTATCAACAAATACCTGATTCTAAATAAATGATACAGAAGGAAAAATAAATTCTCAACTAGAAATTTATTCATTCTAACCTTCTTTCCCATCCTATTCATGGTTGGTTGTGCTGAGGTAAAGTTCAGGGATTGTTCAACATTTTTTAATCCCTCAAGTTTATTTCAAACTTTTACTTGATAGTTTTGACTGTAGAGACTTACGAGCATAGGCTGGCAGCTATAATCTAAAGTATCAACATAGACTTGCTAAAGAAGATTTTAGCATCACAACAAACAATAATTCACTCCAGTAAAATTGATTTACTTTACTATAAAATTGTTAAATTTCTTAAAACTTCAAAATATCAGTTTATTCCTCCTTTATTAGACAAATTAATAGGCTTTCTGGGGAAAAATAGACAGTCCAATTTTTTTCCTGTCCTTATCCCAAGACTGTGGGTCATATATCTCACAATACATTGAAAAATATATATACATCCTCTCACCTTTTCAATAATTTGATCACCAAAAAAACCAACACTACAATAAAACCACAGAAGAAAAAATGTGGTTTGGGGCTTTTACATAAAAAAAATAACAGCCCTTTATTAGAATGACATGTTATCTTTTATTTTGAAAAGCTGCTACCAGAAGTTTACTGGTTACATCATGTTTATTATTTTTTTTTATATTAAACTTTATCTAGTAAGGGAACAGTTATCCTGAACTTCTTTCCCCCATTTTTTTCTGCTGAGTTTACACTTCCCCAAAAAGCCTTAACCTTTACAAAGTTGCTGTATAGTGATCAAATAGAACTTTTTTCGTACTCCACAGCTATATGCAAGCTGCCATAGTCAGACGGCCTCTTTACACTAATGAAAAACGTGGTGTTTCATCCATCCATCCATCCATCCATCCATCCATCCATAGCTGGACCAGTCTTTGAAGAAGTAATGAAGGGCAAACAGTGGTGATGCCGCCATCACTATATTTTTACTAAAAGAGTTTCACCAGCAGGAGGTGCTGTGGGCACCTATGGATTTCTCCTTTTGCTCACATTGAGGTTTTCATCCACAGCAAAGAAAGAGACAAACGCTCACAAATGAAAAACTTTATTTGAGAATACCAACAAGTGTTGATGCATTAATCATCACAATGCAGAATGGTGAATATATAGATATAACGCAGTCCTACACACTAAGATAATGCTTATAGAGCTTATGATTTTATGTTCTTTCACAAATAGAAACAAAAGTCACACTCTATAGGTTGAGAATAGACAGTTCAATAAATAAGCAAGCATTCCACTAACAGCAATATCATCATAACTGGGTGAACACTATTATTTATTTTTGTTCAAAGTTGCATTAGATGTATAGGTGTACTCAATGGAAAGGAATGAAGAATCGAGGCATGTAGTACACTAAAAAGCCAGAGAGTGAATGCAGCTGTCAAATCTACAAATACAGCCTAACAATTACACTTTCAAGATGTTAAGATCACTCACATTCGGTTAAGGTAAACAGTGAGGAGACACTCGCACTGAACCTCTGATGCCAAAAAAAGACAGGATTCACCAAAGTTACAATATTTATGCTGTGCAACAAGAAACAAAGGCAGCACAACCCATGAAGCTTTGCATTCGAATGCGACTGTACCACTGCAACAGACGTATATTCACACCGACAAAGGGAAACCCTGTCGTCTGTTAAGTTACCGCATGAGGGTAAACCTTTAACGCCGTCGGATCAAATCAGCTCTGGGTATTTAGCATACGAAGGGTTAAAAGCCGTCCTTTACATCCAGGGAATCTCTCAGGTGGCTGATATCTGTGCTGAATGCTCCAGTTGGTCTCTGCTTTTAACATGAAATATGCTGGTGAGACGTTTACAAAAACTTATCAGCATCACTGTCATAATATTCTGGGCTTCTAATGTTTTTATTAAACTCTAGATATTTCTATAAGGTGGAATGATTACAAAAAAATGTAACATTGACATTTTTAGGGGCACAGGTTTGAATTTATGGTATTTAAAAACTGATAAATAGAGGGTGGCGTCTGCTCAGTCTACGTTTGAACCTTGCATGATCAGGGAAAATGAAAAACTGACTTGTGCACCCAAATAATAAGCATTTGTAAACGTCGCGCCCTAAAAGCATCATGGCAGAGCAGAGCCTTCCTAAACACCGTCAAACCAAACTCTAGCTGATTGGAGCGACCAGAACATATCACCATGGCAACAGCAGCTTCCTGACATCGAGTAAAAGTCTATTCTTTCCCCAACAGGCGAGAAACACTACCAATTTCATGCTGGCCCAAACTTATTAAAAACCTTTTATATTTTTCTAATGTAAACAATAGTGATACAAAAGTCTGGCAACATCTGACGTAAAAAAAAGAAGAAAAAAAAAAGCTACTTTCCCTGCTGGCGCATCCACAAAGAGGGATTAAACAGTACCATTAATAAGCCAGGCGTTAGGTAAAAAAAACTTGTACAAAATAAAATAACAGGGAAAGATAATCATTTGAAAAACATAAAGTGGCAAAAATCCAGGCACCAACATGGCAGCTAATGCTTAGCTAAACTTTCACTTTGAGGCTTCGAGTGTTTTGGCCAGACCGACAACTTCTGTGAGATAAACTGCAGAACATGCTAACTCCAAGATAACTCTCATCACTTCCTTTTCCACCTTAACAAAATAAATATGACCTATTAATAAAGTATAAATACATTCTAAAGAGGAGGAAAATAATGTACAAGTGACGTCCTCACAAGGATACATTGCACTCACTCACACACACACAAAACTTCCTCTAAAGTGAAGTGAGAGAAAAAGCTGAAAGAAAGACCGACATTGGTTAGTGACAGGAAAGGAGAGCGAGAGCAACACCAGAGCAGAGATGAGAAGACCAAACGTCCCAACAGTTGCCAGTTGAGCAGGAAACAGAGATGACAACCAGGAGAAGGGGGGCTTTCTGAGTCTCTGCTGCAGGGGGGGGGACCCGGGAGCGGTAGAGGAGCTGTTGGTTTGGAGGGACAAAGGAGCCCAGAGGGAACGACAACACACATCCCTTTATTACTGTGTTGGGGGGAGGAGAGAAGCATGAAGGAATAATCTTGATGGCTTAGGCCTGATAAACGAGAAAGAGACAAAGAGACAAAAACAGGACAAAAAAGGGCAGATATTGTGAGATTAAAAGCTCTGCTCCGGGCTTCCAATGCTAGACCTCCCTGACTTCATCCCTTTACTGATCCACAGAGGTCCCACTGATATCACAGGACAAATACAAACACTTTCAGACTAATATTCCAGCTAATTTCTAATCTCTTATAAAAAGGGCACTAATACTGACTTTAATTCAGGCAATATTAAAAAAAACTAAAGAAATTTCATCACATTTTCTTGCTAACTGGTTTACTGGGTTCTTCGATGTCAACATTGTTCTCACCTGTCCCACCACCTGAATATACACCCATGATATTGATTCATTCTGTTTCTATAAGCTATAGCTCAGTATTTTTTAGATTGGTTACATCTTTAAAGAGACTTTTCCTCTATTCCCTCCTTTTCCTATTTCCTCCCTTATTCCAGAGCCATTTCCTCACTTCTTCCTTATATTATTTCATACCTGCAACTTCCAGTTGTAGCCAACTTTGTTTCCTATATTATAGAGGTGATAAAGTCAAGATCTCATAACTCAATTGTTAACTATTCTAAAAGCTTTATATTGGAACATATTGCTGATTATTTAAGGATAAATCCCAAATTAAATCTAGTGAACTTCTGCTACTAGAGGTTATTTATAGCCATCATCTAACCAAATGTTATTACATCAGATCTGGAGTGGATTACAAAATTAAAATAAACTGAGTTTTAATGCAGGTACTGATGTATTCTATGACAGCATGAAACACCCTGCAGTAGATGTGACTATTTAGTTCCAATAAAATAACAGCTATTAAAACCAGTCAGTATGAAAATAATCTAACTGAGAGGGATAAATAATTGTGTTTGTCTTTACTGTCCCTCATCCTGCCTCCACCTAAACGGTGTTGGCCCTAATCCAGACAGCAACATTGGTGCAGAGATTGAACCTGTTTACCTTTTAATATCAGCATTTGAGCCATTGAAAACAAAATGCTTATCTGCAGCCCATGTTTGGTAACCACAGGCTGTAGATTCTGACCTTTTTCTTGATCTTTTTCATTTAGAAATTCTCTAGACTGGCTTTGTCTCATCCAGTGAAACGCTTCCTGGTGAAACTTGTGTATTTCGTACTTGAATTCTTTTAGGTTTTACTGTAGTTTCTTTTTTTATATTTAGGTAGAAAAAATACAATAAAATAAGAAATTATATTATGTTTATTAAAAATGTGATTTCAGACTTTGTCAGTTTCCTAAATGGCTTATACTAAAGGGGATTGTTTTACTTTCATAACCTGATTTGCTAGAATGTGATTCCGACTGCAGTATGAATATTTTACACCCCTGACTTTGCAGAAAAAATACAACAAAAATATAATAGGTTATATTAGGAAAATACTGAAAGCAAATCTGCTGTTTTTTCCCTCATTTCCAGATGGCGTGGAAGCAAACATCTGATTTACATCCCTAAAACGATGCTAAATTTGTGTGACGTGAAACTGCCGCAGCATTGGGAGCTGCATTTCTCCATAAAAAAATGAAGTCAACCTAGAAGCTGCAGTCAGATCAGCGATGCAGTCTGTGTGACTCAGCTCTTTCTATTTTCTCCTTGGGTACAGGAAAGCCTGAACTTGGCAGAGAGTGCACAGTAACTGGGTGCACACTGCAGATGCACGATACCTGCAGAACACCTACTGCACCAAATATGCTGACGGCGAGTTGCTAAAACCTAATTTTAAGCAAACAAACTATCCAAATCCTTGTAAACCCTAATACTATTATTAAATGATGGTTCATCGTTATAACAGATGGCTAATAAAGCCCTTTTTTTTATTATCTTTATGCATCCTCCAACCCAGACCTGCATTCTTTACCAGGGAGAGTACAATCCACTGACTGCCAAGGGGAGAAGGACATTTGATTGGCAGGCTGATTGGTTGTCATGGCAAGAGAAATCAACAAAGAAACATGTTAGTGGTGAATGAAGGAGGAGAAAAGCAAAACAAGGAAAGGTTTGAAAAGCAGTGGTTTGAATGTGAGAAAACAAAGCTTCTGCAGGCACACATACAGTAGTCAGTCCGATCATGCCTTTAATGACACATTAAAAACTAAACAAAACTTGACATGAAACAGATGCATTCTCATCTGGATTAGCAACCTGTTTACCAAACTGCTTCAACACAGACTTGATGAGCTCCTGAAAGGGAAAGTCCAATAATGTTGCATTGTTTAAAAGCAGACTGATCTGTAAATACCGTTTCATTTAAACCCGGGCTAGCTGAGTTATAATATAGGGTTTATAAATATATGGATGGATGGACGAATGCAGGGACATAATTTCACACTTTAATGAAAGGGGTCCAACTTTCGAGATAGTGAGATACAATTTTCTTTCTATACATACATTTTCTCCTCCTCTGATAATGACCAGCAACTTTTGCATTAATATATAGGCTGTTAGATTTGCTGAGGTTAAGTTTGTAAGTAGTTTTGCATTTATAAGCACCCTATATAAGGATGTGATCAAAGCCTTAAACCAACCCTTCATTGCTGCAGGGAACAGAAAAGATTTAAGAAAACCAAAACAAAACAAAGAAATTTAATTTGAGAAGAGTGGAGGGAAAAATATCTTTACAAAACCTGTGGGTCACAACATGAGCAGACTGCTGCATTTCTCTCCCTCCTTACCTCCCCATCCTTGGCAATCATTGACACCTTGGGGGCACAAATATCTAGAAGTTTTTTTTTTTTTTTTTATTTACAGCAGGATTAACTGTCAACTTTTAAAGAGCCTCTCTGATACTGTTCACCTGCTTCCCCTCAAAAGTCTTGGGAACCATTTTAGATACGTAGGAGGCCTTTGCCAGAAAACTGGAAATGGGTTTACATGTTTTTCCATCAGGATAATAATTCACAGCACAATGGCAAATAAAGGCAGCATAAAAAAGCAGCCTTCTTTGATCGTCATCTTCTAACTAACCTAAAACCAATAGAAAACCTGCAGAGTAAACTAAATAGAAGACAGTA